AACTGCACGTGACTTTTTAAATAGTGAAAAATAATGTTTTGAAACAAAAATTAAATAAAAATTGTGGTTTTCTAATGGAAATTGTTACAAGTTGCGAAGTGTTCATGTTACATGTGCCAAAGAAAAAGGATTTTTGTATTTAATTCTAAATTATACAAGTTTTTAAATGAAATGATGTTTTTTAATGTATAAATTTACTTAAGAGTTAAAGCCTTCTTCTTCGTTAGTTAATAATTTGAAAGGATGTATTTTATATCAGATATACCTAGTCCATAATCGGTTCTGTCTGCGTTCCTTTATTAGATTCTGTGGCGTTAATTAAACAGGCTAGGACACTACTAACTTAACCAACTATTTCCTTGTTGACTGTAAAATTTACGATTGCTCCGAAAACTCTGATCTTGTTCAATCCTATAATGATTTGCTTGGTTCATGATAATAGTTCATCAAAGTCAGATTTCATGTCATTACTTATGCTGCAACTTCAGCATTTGCTTCCTAAAACTTGTTCCCAAATTTTTGGACTCTAAGCTCTCGTGGAAACGTAATGCTGAGATAAGAACTCCCCAGAGCAGTACTGCTAAACGTAAGTATCTGCCCTTAACACTGCACATGCAGCTCTCAGCCCGGGTGCATGTTACCTTGATGAAGTCTTCCTCTTAGTGTTGTTGCAATTTCCGGGGAAAAGAGGTCCATCAATGCCTCTAGTCTACCGGGACTATCAAATGTATCCTTGGAATTTTTTTTGGAATGATTTGACATGGGGTAAAACCAGAGCACCAGAAAATCTGGTACCACGGGAACCGGTAGCCCGCATTGCAGAATTTCGGAATTTGTCTTGTCCCGTTTATTGGAGAGGTTCCATCGGTGACCACGTTGTGGCTGTGGTTTAAACGCAATTAAAGTCTGTAATTCGCAATAAGCTCGGTATTGTTGCCCAAGTCAATAGATACCCCACAGAGGAGTGACTGTAGGATTAAGCTTTGGAAATGAGTTGGTGTAGGATGAATGTAGGGGTATACGGAACTTACCGCCCGTATACTCAGAGTGTGTCTGTATGACGGATGTTGTTCTCTATGAGTGTGTCGAATTAATAAAATTGTGCTGGATTCAATGAAAGGTATCTTATTCAAGTGATACCATTGAATGTTCCTTCCTTGTGCAGATATGTTAAGGATTTACTCTGTTCATACTAGATTTACCAAAGTGTGTTCTCTGTGAGTAAGAACAAAGACTTTGGCTTATTTGATGCATTCGTATTTCGTTCTATCGAATACGTCTCTAGGTGCTGTTGCTGACTCAACAGAGTCCATTCCATCTGCGTGGTTGTAAATGGAAATGATGTTTTTGCATCTCGAAAGTTTGAAATTGGATAGCTCGAGTACTTATAGCACTATATTTTACACGGATCTTCAGAACCATGTACACAATTGCCACCTGCGTGTAAGAAACACAAAGTGGCAGTGGTGAATCGCCTAGTCAGCTCACCCAGTGGTTGAAAAAGTACCACCGTGAAATAAGGACAACACGGCATCTTCAACATCTTGTATATGCATCTCTTTACCCGGGAGTAATGTTACCTTTATTAAGTCTCCATCTTGGTGTTGTTGCAATTCAAAGGGAAATGAGATGCTACCAATTAATACCTCTAGTCTGTGGCGACTATAAACTGATGACTATCAACTGTATCCTCGGTCTTTCATTGGAATGATTTGATATGGGGTCGAACCAGAGCATCAGACAATCTGGTACTACAGGTGACCAGTTTCCTGCAGGACTTTGTCCTCGTTGGTCAGTTGGTTGGGATACTCGTAGTGGCTATGGTTTAAACCTAAATTCGGCGGGTGAGATTATTGGTTTTAGGTCTGATATATCCAAATATATGTCTATATTCTTTCTCTGTTGTTGTTGCCATCTTAACAGATGTCATTGGGTGATGTGACAGAGCAACTTATGCTGGATTCCTGAAAGCGTTGAATATCTTTTACTCCTCGCATAGTAGAGCATCAGTATGTTTGTTGGGGAATTGTCAGGTTAACATGCGGTGGTTGGATCATTATTTATGACCCTTGTCTTGTTATTTCAGGGAAGTTTTCACCATCTCAACGGGATGCATATTGATACATGGTACGCTACTAACGATTGAACGCTTTCACACAATTTTTCGGGGCAATAATTTAGTTAGTTTTACTTTGGGAATTCCTACATTTTATGTCGCATTATCTGGACATACGGAGAGATCCTGATCTATTGACTGAATATTTTTCGACTGCCAAATGCATCTCTACACAGAGGGAAAAATAAATATACACGCCTGGTACCAAATTGACACCAAACTGTTTATAATTTTTCAATAACATCCGTTGTCAAAGTATATACATACGTACGACAACACTATGTAATGTTATTTCTTTTTCCCTCTCTGTAGGCGCCGGTTACCGAAGCAATAAAGCTTAAATGTGCCAGAGCATATGCTAAGGTGTCGCTATGGAAACGTAAGTATGTATTTACTAGTTGGTCCATCTCGGTGTCATTCCCGTGATTAGGAATTCATCAGGTTCGTTTCTTGCGGCTTTTCAACAATAGCAAGTAATTTTTTTACATGTGTATAATTTTATTTGAAAAATTTACAACTATTTTTTAACTGTAACGGAAGAAGTACCAATAATTACCCCCTAAGCCTGTCATTCAGTACTTCTCCATTTGTCGGTGTTAGAAAGGCTCACAAACTTTCTATTTTGCCTCCGAAGACTGAATTTTAATCCCACAAATTTGTCAACATTAGAATAATCTGTTTCCATATCCTCCTACTATTCGATATATAGTTGAATTATCCGAACCAACCACGTAATAGTTACTTCAAAAGATATTTAGACCACAAAATCTAGGCGAATTCACTCAAATTTTCAAAATTACCTTATTATAACCAATAAAAAAACACTAATTCAATAAGTACCCCATAAAATTTGATAAATTTAAAAAGCCCTAATTCCCATAGCTAAACAAGTTTTCTCAAGTTTCGATAATATCAAACATATTTGCTTTAATCTCATAAATATTCCCACTTTATGCAACTTCATTTGTATACTTTCCTAATATAGCATCAATATGTGGTTTATTCCGCCTACCATTTAATTTATTCATTCACCACTAACACCTCGACTCTGTCACCGTCACCGAAATGCCACAAATACCAATACCATTACCAAATATTCCAAGCACAACATCCCTTCTTCAAAAATAACAAGAGGGTACCACCCGGTATAATGTGTGAAACATTTACAATTATGGCAGCCATTTCCGTTATATACACTCATGCATACAGGCGTCACATGTATATGTGTGGGGAAATTTTTGTGTGTGTATTTATGTGTCATTGTAGAAAACCCCAATACATATTTATACCCTACAATACATATTTATACCCTACACCACTTTTGTGCTGATGTTTGTAACGCACAATAATATTGGTCCTATACCCACCTTAAAGTATACCAATCGGCTCAGAATCATTTTCTGAATCGATTTAGCTATGTCCGTCCGTCCATGTAAACCTTGTAATCAAACTACAGGTTGCAATTTTGAAGATAATTCAATGAAATTTGGTACATGATCTTTTATGGTATCGTAGACGAAGACTATTGAAAATGGTTAACATCGGTCCATTATTTCACCTAGCCCCCATACAACTGAACCCCCCAATAGGGCTTGTAATCAAACTACAGGTCGCAATTTTGGAGATAATTCAACGAAATTTGGCACATGATCTTTTATGATATCGTAGATGAAGCCTATTGAAAATGGTTAACATCGGTCCATTATTTCACCAAGCCCCCATACAACTGAACCCTCGAATAGGGCTTTTAAACCTTGTAATCAAACTACAGGTCGCAATTTTGGATATAGTTCAATGAAATTTGGCACATGATCTTTTATGGTACCGTAGACGAAGCCTGTTGAAAATGGTTTACATCGGTCCATTATTTCACCTAGCCCCCGTACAACTGAAACCGCCGAATAGGGCTTTTAAGTTCATAATTATGTTTAATATCTCGACAAAAAGCTGCAAAAACCAAGTTGTATACAAGACTTGATGACCCTCACGAATTCCATAATAATAGGTTCTCATATAACCCTAGCCCCTATGAAAAGCCCCCATCAAAATTTCACTTAAATGTCCACAATTTTATTCAACAATAAACGGCTTAATTATGTATATCTAAGGCAAGGTACAATTCAACTTAAATGCTTTATTATGGCAACTAAATCATATTATATTTTTGTCAAAGGTGTAGGGTATTATATGGTCGGCCTAGCCCGACTATAATTTCTTACTTGTTTTTTTTACTCTGTTGTTTAAGAAGTGATCCATGTAACTCTCTTTAAAATATCAAAGTTGGTAAATTCTAAAGTATTTGACTTCTCTGTCACTAGTTACTTTAATGTCTCTAGGTAATCAAGCGTAAGCATTCTGAGAGAGAGAGTGATAAGTAGAGTGCAAGTTATATTCCAAAAAAGCAGACGTTTATAATCAATGTGAGAAGAGATCAAAATCTGTGAAGCATCAATCGACTTCCTCTTTAGGACAATCACCCCAAACTAACGGGATAACTTACTAACTCATTCATTCATTCACTACCACATACGTTTTTAAATTTTACCATTAAAATTATTGTTGGGAAAAAGCCGTTTTTGCCAAACTTTTTATGGTTTCTTTTTTATTGTATTTTTTTATTATTATTTTTTAAAACGAAACCATATGTGTGGCAGCCAAACAGCTCTTTTTCCTGGCAAAAATAAAAACAATATAAAATGTTAGCAAAATTTTTTGCAAATATTTAAATTTCTAAATGATTGTCGTTATATTTACCTTAAATTTAAACATAAATATTTTTAAATTAACAGCCTTGCATGTGACATTAAGGAAGAATATGTAGTTAAATTTTTATTAACAATTTGATTTTATATATAATGTTTTTTTTTTAATTTTTTACTTGCAGGATATTTTATTTCCTTTGATGCGCAATTTTCATAATTTAAATGGTAAGTAGTTTAGTTATTATTTTGGCATTTTATAAAACATTTTTTTATTAACGGAATAAAAATAAGTGACATATTTGAAATAAACAAAATGTTTTTATTAACTTAAAGTTTAAATTTTTAGATTTTGTTGTGACTTAAAAACTTAAATTTTTAAAAATGTTTAAGCCAGCAAGTTAAAATGTTTTTATAATCCTGGAAAAAGAATATAATTTCCATAACTAGTTTATAATGAATTCTATGCCATACACAAGTGACGTTCTATCTTAAGGTACATATGTACATATTTATATCAGTCGGCTAAGTTATGTCCTTCTGTTCTTCGTTCATCCATTTAAAAATTGTCATCAAAGTAAAGGTCAAATTTTGAAGATAATTTGATCTGATACATTTTGTTGTTGTTGTTGTAACAGCTTAAATTATACAAATTGAGGGGTTCCACATCAAAGTCCAAGCCTAAAAATTGTGCTAGGTTAGTGTTCTAGTCTGATAGACCGGAGATGGTTAGTTCGATTCCCACCTGAGGCAGTGGTGTACGGTCGCAATTTGAGCTCCATCAACGACGACGCCAAGGGCTAAATTGTGAAAAACTGATGTATTTCGTTAAGATAACCATTCACAGAACACACACATAATTCAACAACATTGTGGACCGTCGCCATGATTTTACAGTCGTTCGCATACGAAATCTCGTTCACTCCTTGTAGAGGAGCGGGAAGTTTAAAGAGGTAGACGATAAACAATAGCGGCGATAACATACCATCTTGTGATACGCCTTGTTTAATTCTACAGGGTTTGGAGCGTTTGATGTTCATAAAATCTTTCGCTTAAAGATGAACCTTCTTGATTTTTGTTGATATTGGTTCATTATAACGGACCGTCGAATATAATTATGTTAAATATAAACTGGAACGTTCATAGCTCACTTCGAAATACAATGCAATTTGACATCATTTGACTAACCTAGATCTGTATCGGTCCATAACTAGTCATAGCTCCCATATATGGTCCACATCCAAAACTCGAATAAAGATACAAAATTTGATATAAATATATTTTGTGTATATCGGTCCATAATCGGCCATAGCACCCGTATGAGGCTACTTCCAATCGGAATATATAAATCAATTAATAGAGAAATCGTTATAAAATTCATCATGAATTGTCTACTATATGTAAATCAATCTGCGAATTTTTTCCCGGATCGGTCATAGCTCCCATATAAGGTTCATTTCCGATAAACTCTTAAACAGACATATTTAATTACTAAAAATACCTCATGAATATGTTGAAAGTTTATATTAATCGCGCAGCTAAAGTTTTTTTCGGGTCGATCCATAATTGGCCATACCTTACATACACATGCGTAAGGTCCACCTTCGAAAATTATTTCAAAGCACATATTGAATTGACAAAACGATTAAATTCGAAAAAAAAAATTCTAAATGAGTCCATAATTGGTCATCCACTTCTGAAAATCACTTAAACACACATATTGCATTAATATATAAGGATATATCTGGATAAATCTCGACATGAGTGTGTTTTATGTATCGACAAATCATTCTGCAAAACTTTGTTCAGATTGGCCCACTATTGGTCAAAGCTTGCGATTGGGGGTAAAATTCGACACGAATACGTTTTGTATATATCGGCCCATAATTGTTCATAGCAATGTTTGAATTGCATCTTTCTTAAGCAGACTTTTCAAATTATGAAAGAATTGAGAAATCCTTATTAATAAAGCAGAAACCTTAAAAAATTAAAACATCAGTCCACAATTAAGCCCAACTAACCTCAATAGGTCATTTATAAGGGGCTTTTAGATATTATTTGGTCATGTCAGTAAATGTGTATATTTTCACTTTAAATAACATATTTTCAACAGATTTTCTTAACGTAAAGAAATCAAAAATGTAAAATAAGATCCAGCACCCTGTAAGATCTATAAAGGTAAAAAAAGTTATTCAAAATATTATGAATCCAACATTGTAAACCTTCACTTACAGCCACCACAGACACTAAAGAAACATTAAAGAAATTTAAACCAGTAAAATGAAAAGGTTTACGATTTGTGACTATAGATAAGGTAACAAATTTCAAAAGTTTAACATTGTCTGGAGTATTCGAGGAACGCTCAATCACTATTTCCCATTTGGACTCGTAATACATGGTACTAAGTTGATCGGTCTACAAGTAAACAAATATATATATAAATATGAACAAAACTAAAACAATATTAAAGCAGATACATACCGTACTAATAATAGTCGAACCCAATTGACCAAAAGCCAAAATCTCTTGAATTTTGCCTATAGCCCAAAAAGCATAACCAATACTATTGACCGGGCTCTGGAAAAGCAATAACAATAAAACAAAAACGCATATTATTTATTTATCTATCTATCACAAAACTCACCGTATAAACTTTAAATCCCAGGGCACACAATGATATGGCACTAAATGAAAACATAACAAATATACGAAATGAAAATTCATCTTGTATCTCCCGGGCAAATTTATTTAATCTTAAGTTTTCCTTTAATGTTTCCCTTAGTACGCGCTCATATTTCTCCACAATATTACTATTTAAATTACTCTTCAAAATCGTATCCACTTTTTGTTTAAACGTTTCACGCATCATTAAATAACGACCATTTAGATTAAATATTAATAGGCCCAATGTGTTGCCTTCGCCAAACATCATGGTGGTGACTATAAAACCCACCCAAATGTTACTCATTAGTAGTGGAAAATAGATGTAGAAATTATTCTTGTAATCCACGGTTGGTATCATTTTATAAAGGAGTTCTCTTCTATTGGTGGCTAAGACATAGACCGCAGTGACAATGTATGAGTTTAAGGCCAAGAAGTAGAGTAGAGAAAATGTTAAAATTGGCCACATTTGTCGTTGGATTTTCTTAAAGAGTTTCAGGTTGACTGATCTAAGTAGGATGTGAAAGAAAATTGAAAATTTATAACATTTATAATTTTTAACGAATTTTTTATTAAAACTAAATAACATTTTAGAAATACTGATAACTGGTCGATCATGTCTGACAATACTTTTTTCTATATCTATATCTTCTATAAAGTGTGTTCTGTAGACAGTTTTTCAGTAAACAGTTTTATGAACAAAAGAATCTTCTTTAAAAAGTTTTTTATAAATACATACATATGTATGTTTTCCTAGATACAGATTTAAAGACAGTTTTATATTGAAAAACTTATTTTATTGAAGGTTTTCTGTAGAAAGTTAAATAATTTCTATATAAAAGTTCTCTCAGTTGAACACTTTCTATATAAATACTCCATTTGGTAAGTAAAAATGCTACTTCTGTTGAAACTTTTTTTTCTGTACACAGTTTTATATAGTACAATGCCTTTTGTAGGCAGTTTTTCTACGGAAGAATGTCCTCTGTAAATATGTTTTTTTTTTATAGAAAAGTGTCTTCTGTGGACTATTTTTATGATTTAAAAAAAAGTGTCTTCTGTGGTTTATTTTTACGGAAAAATGTCTTTTGTAGAAAGTTTTCTGTGGTGAGTTTCCTAAAGAATTTCGGAATTTTCTATAGAAACTTATATCCTGTAAAGAATTTTCTGTAAAAAAGATTTCTAAAAATAAATGTGTCTTTTGTAGGAAGTTTTCTGATGGAAGGTGTATTTTTTTTTTGACATTTATAAAGCGTGTTAGTTAGTTAGTTAATTAGACTAGTTAGTTAGTTAGTTTAGTTAGTAGTTAGATAGTTAGTTAGTTAGTTAGTTAGTTAGTTAGTTAGTTAGTTATTAGTTAGTTTAGTTAGTTCAGTTAGTTAGTTAGTTAGTAGTTATTAGTTAGTTAGTTAGTTAGTTAGTTAGTTAGTTGTTAGTTCGTTTAGTTAGTTAGTTAGTTAGTTAGTTAGTTAGTTAGTTAGTTAGTTAGTGTAGTTAGTTAGTTAGTTAGTTAGTTAGTTAGTTCTTTTATTTTATTTTATTTTATTTTTTTATTTTATTTTATTTTTTATTTTATTTTATTTATTTTATTTTAGTTTAGTTAGTTAGTTAGTTAGTTAGTAGTTAGTTAGTTAGTTAGTTAGTTAGTTAGTTAGTTAGTTAGTTAGTTAGTAGTAGATTCGTTAGTTAGTTAGTTAGTTAGTTAGTTAGTTAGTTAGTTAGTTAGTTAGTTAGTTAGTTAGTTAGTTAGTTAGTTAGTTAGTTAGTTAGTTAGTAGTTAGTTAGTTAGTAGTTATTTAGTTAGTTAGTTGTTAGTTAGTTAGTTAGTTAGTAGTTAGTTAGTTAGTTAGTTAGTTAGTTAGTTTAGTTAGTTAGTTAGTTAGTTAGTTAGTTAGTTAGTTAGTTAGTTAGTAGTTAGTTAGTTAGTTAGTTAGTTAGTTAGTTAGTTAGAGTAGTTAGTTAGTTAGTTAGTTAGTTAGTTAGTTAGTTAGTTAGTTAGTTAGTTAGTTAGTTAGTTAGTTAGTTAGTTAGTTAGTTAGTTAGTTAGTTAGTTAGTTAGTTAGTAGTTAGTTAGTAGTTAGTTAGTTAGTTAGTTAGTTAGTTAGTTAGTTAGTTAGTTAGTTAGTTAGTTATTAGTTAATCACTTTCTACTCACTCTTCAATAAAATTTCCGCATAAAATTTCTTCAGCAACTTCTTAAAATCATTCTTCCTCCAACCCAATGAAAACGCACGCAGATGTAATTCGATCAGCACCAAATACGTTGGTACACCCGTTAACATTTCATCTAAATTATTAAAATACACACGCAAATATCTCAACTCTGCATCATTGTGCACAACAAATGATAGAAATCCCAAAAACCATAGAAAACGATCAAAGAAGTAAAACCAATGTGGTGCGTTATCCTCCAAGGGCCAACAGATTATATTAGTCCAACGATACAATTTGAGTGACCAATTTAAAGGTACATGTTTCCCATTGGGTAAACGTGGTCTATACAGAATGTTAAACATTCTTCCAAAACAGCGTAGTTGTTGGCGAGAATAATAAACTGTTTCTAAGGATTTTAAATCACAACCTAGAAAATTTATATGAAAAATGTTCTTGTTTTTTATACAAAATATTTTTATTAAAAATTTATAATTTAAGCTATTTACTAAAGAACTTTTAATTAAGAAATTAAAAAAGTTAAAAAATTTAAACTATTTAAAGTAAAAACTTTCATAATTTGTTTATAGTTGTTGTTTGTTTTTATTGGCAATTAAGTTATTATTTATGATGCGTTAGATGTTGTTTTAGGAACATAGTTGTTTGAAGTATTTAGTCGGAGACAAAAATAAAGTTTCTTTTAAGGCAGCTCTCTTAAAATTAAGCTCTCTATTAATTAGGCCCAAAGGTTTAGTTACTAAATAAACTATTTATAAACCTTTCAAATGTGTTAAAATTGTAGAAATAGTTTAGCATTTTAATTAAAAACTTTTGCAAAAAAAATTAAATAATTTGTTTTAAATATAGCTAGTATTTGTTGTTTTATTTAAATAAATTTTTTTTCTTTTTCAATAAATTCTAAAAAATGTATTATACCAGCTGTAAAACTGTCATGTTTCTTAAAGGGAAAGTCATTCTTTATATGAATTTGTTCAATGTAAATACATGTAAGAGGAATTTAAGCAATTTAAACTTTTTCCTTAAAGTTTTTTTTTTGTTGAAATAAAACAAATGTTTTAAACAAGTTTTCGATATTAACGCGATATTTATACTTTTTTTCAAGAAGTTATTACTTTATGGCAATTATCTTATTGCCGCATTTGTTATTTGTTTGTACTTGTTTTTCTTGTATTTTAATTTGAAGTTTTTTTTTTTCTTTTAAAACTTTTTTCATTTATTTGTTAGACAGACTTAGAGGAATAAGGGTGGGCCAAATAAAGAGATTTACTATAACATATTATTTTCTAAAATAGGCCTAATCCCTTGTAAAAATGCCACTTTTCGAACATCCTAGAATTATATTTAATATCAAACTTTATTTCATTTCCAATTTACCATAAATCTTGGTTTATTATTAATGTGTGTATTAGTGTATACATATAAACATACATACATACATATGTATGTATTTTCTGATTGCCAGATTACTGTTTAGATTTCCTTATGTTTCCGGTACTGGATTAAAATCTTTTTTTAACAAATTCCCAATGTATCTTTTTGAGTTTGTTTGACGTAATAAAATAAGTAAATTTTGGAACTAGAAATATTTACATATGTATGTGTAAATATACAAATCACAAATTTCTACAATATTGGTATTAACAGATCAAAACATACATACATATGTATATGCTTAGACGATTAGGAGAAAGAAAAAAATAAAATTTTCCCTCAAATATCTAAAAGATTTTTCCTTAGTTTCATTTAAATATATTGATTTTTTTCGACTTCCAACAAGAAGCAATTAATTCAGATTACAAATATTGCTTTGACAACTGTGTGATATTTGCAAATAGATTTAATTCCCAGTGAAATATTCAATACAACATTAATAACGTGCAGTTGAGACATTTTTCTATAGAGCGGTGTGTAGTGCTATAGAAAAGGGCAGTGTCTGTTGTAGATCAACTGTGGACAGGTTTACCTCAGTGTCATATGTATACTGTTTTCTATAGAGCAGTATTCATTATATGAAGTTGTCTGCTGTAGACAATTTTCTATAGAATAGTTTATACTGTTGGGATTTGTCTATAGAACAGTGCTTTAGACAAAATAATGCCTGTTAGGGACAGTCTTCTATAAAACAGTTGTATCTTTAGACTGACAGTTGCTATGTTATAGTGTCAATAGACTTGTCTATAGTCCAGACTACAGACTTGCCTATAATCTTGACTACAGTCTTGTCTATAGTTTTGTCTATAGTCTTGTCTATAGTCTTGTCTATAGTCTTGTCTATAGTCTTGTCTATAGTCTTGTCCATAGTCTTGTCTATAGTCTTGTCTTTAATCTTATCTATAGTTTTGTCTATAGTAGAGACTATAGTCTTGTCTATAGTCCAGACTGTAACATTCCCTATAGACTTCACATAGTCCAGACTGTAGTCTTGTGTATTGTCCGGAATATAGTTTTATCTATAGACTTGTCTATAGTCTAGAATATTGACTTGCTCAGACTATTGTCTTGTCTACAGTCCAGACTATTGTCTTGTCTATAGTCCAGACTATAGTCTTGTCTATAGTCCAGGCTATAGTCTTGTCTATAGCCCTGACTATAGTCTTGTCGATAATCCAGTCTATAGTCCAGACTATAGTCTTGTCTATAGTCCAGACTATAGTATATAAGCTTGTCTATATTCTTGTCTATAGCCCAGACTATAGTCTTATCTATAGAGCAGACTATAGTCTTGTCTTTAGTCCAGACTAAAGTCTTGTCTATAGTCCAGACTATAGTCTTTTCTATACTCCAGACTATAGTCTTGTCGATAATCCGGTCTATAGTCTTGCCTATAGTCCAGACTATAGTATATAGACTTGTCTATATTCTTGTCTATAGCCCAGACCATAATCTTGTCTATAGTGCAGACTATAGTCTTGTCTTTAGTCCAGACTAAAGTCTTGTCTATAGTCCATACTATAGTCTTGTCTTTACTCCAGACTATAGTCTTGTCTATAGTCCAGAATATAGTATTGCCTGTAGCCCAGACTATATTCCTGAGTATAGACTTGTCCAGACTATAGTCTAGGCTATAGTCTTGTCTATAGTCTTGTCTAAAGTCCAGACTATTCTTGTCTATAGTGCAGACTATAGTCTTGTTTGTATTCCAGACTATAGATCTTTGTATAGTTCAGACTATAGTTTTGTCTATAGACTTTTCTATAGTCTTGTTTATAGACTTGTCTATAGTACAGACTCTAGTCCTGTCTAAAGCAAGTAGTGTTGTCTGAGGATTTGTCTATAGTCCAGAATATAGTCTTGTGTGTCTATAGTCCAGACTAGTCTGAAGACTTGTAATTTTAATAAAATTTTATAATGTTGAAAAAAATTGTATTGGATTTTTATCAGAAGTTTATTTGTTCGCTGGGACAACGATGTCCCTCCGATTGCAGAAGCTATAACTAGTCATACAATTACATGTTCATTATTTAATTTTCGTTTTTTCTTTATTTCTATAACATGCAAATATTTCTCGTCTGTCTGACAAATTTATGACACAAACATTTTAAATTGTATGGGTTAACAGAAATTTTTAACTGATTTTTAGAAAAGGGAAATGAAAACTGACAAGTTTTTGCTATGGCAACTTGTCTGTCAATTAAAATTCAAAATTGCATTTCTAATGTGGAAGTAAATACGAAAATAAAATTATTGGAAAAATTTACACCCAAACAAAAGTAATTTGTAGATAATTAGCAGTAGGAGTGACTTTTGTGAAATGCTATGAAGGAGGAGGATTTTTGATGGATTGCTAGACAAAATAAATAAAAATAGTTTTCAAGGAAAAATGTTAACCAATTAAGGATTTAAAAATAAAAATAATGTTTTAGAGAAAGTATCATTTAAGGATCTTGGGTCATCCCTATGTATGCTTGAATTAATTGTAAATTCTTCATTAGTTAAATAGTTAGTTTTTAATTAGTTTTGCCAAATTTTTTATAAACATTTTTACTAAATATAATGCTATAAATTTTTAATCAAAGACCTCTTGACGTCAATATGTCAAGTAGCTGTGTTCTACACATTCTAAATGAAAACACTCTTCTCGGAACCAATTTAATTTTGAAATGTTTAAGGATTGTACAGAAAAAAACTCCTGCTAACAGTTTTTGGTGTCATTAGTAATAATCCTGCCTGTGTCATTTGTTATTCAAGTGAATTTTATTTTCAATTGCAACTTCAATAAAGTAATTTTAGTTGAGTAGCAGCAGACATGTCATGACGTCTCGATAGCTGTTACTAGTACTTGCACCCAAGTGGTATGTGCAATATTAGAGCTACTAGTACAATATGCAAATACTATTTAGAGTCAAAAAGAGAAGAATTGGAAAATAAAAGAGAATCACTTTGAAAATTTCTATGCCAAAAACAAGTTTTTCACAAAGTAGAAAGAAGAAAAAAATTTCTTGGAAATTTTTGTTTTAAACTGTTTCACTTTTCATTTTGTTTTAAGCGGAAATTGTGAACATTTTTATCATTTCAAAATTTATTGCATTCCAAAAACTAGCCCACTCACTCTCGTTTTCTTTATAGCCAGAGGTGTTTGCTATTTTAGCTGTTTTAGCAATGTGTCATGTTAAATTTAGTCAAACATTTTTCAATTTTTTTTAAAGCATACTTTTCTTTATAATTGCAATTGAAACTTGACAGCTAGTTAGAAAACATACGCTTTCTCCTATAGACGATTGGCTGCTGCATTTTGCTGTCGTTTTCTATGAACAGCTCTAGGCAGTTTTCGGCAGATCAATATATCGTCTAGATAGGTCTCTAATAAAGCAGTGTCTGATTATTAGTTCTAACTAACTAACTAACTAACTAACTAACTAACTAACTACTAACTAACTAACTAACTAACTAACTAACTAACTAACTAACTAACTAACTACTAACTAACTAACTAACTAACTAACTAACTAACTAACTAACTAACTAACTAACTAACTAACTAACTAACTAACTACTAACTAACTAACTAACTAACTAACTACTAACTAACTAACTAACTAACTAACTAACTAACTAACTAACTAACTAACTAACTAACTAACTAACTAACTAACTAACTAACTAACTAACTAACTAACTAACTAACTAACTAACTAACTAACTAACTAACTAACTAACTAACTACTAACTAACTAACTAACTAACTAACTAACTAACTAACTAACTAACTAACTAACTAACTACTAACTAACTAACTAACTAACTAACTAACTACTAACTAACTAACTAACTAACTAACTAACTAACTAACTAACTAACTAACTAACTAACTAACTAACTAACTAACTAACTAACTACTAACTAA